CCCGCCTGCCCTCCCTGCTCTGCTCCTCCTCCAGCAGCCAGAGATCCCTCGCAGCTGGAGATCCCCCGCAGCTGGAGATCCCAGTGCCTGCCCTGTGCCCCCCCGGGCTGCTCCAGCACCCCCAGGGACCTCATAGTGCCCCCATCCCTTCCCAGTCTTTCTCTTGGGGGTCCCAACCCTGCAAGGACTTACCCCAACCCGGCCAAACTCGCATGCCAAGTCCAGGGGTGTCTTCCCCGAATTGTCCATGATGCAGGGGTTGGACTGGTGCTGCAGGAGCATCTCTGACTGCGGACGAGTGAGACCCCAGCTCTGTCAGGGCAGGGGCAGGGAGGGCGGCACGGCCCCCCTGCCACCGCCACACTCCGCCGCCGGCCCCACCATACCACGTCGTAGTGCCCGTGCTGTGCCGCCAGGTGCAGGGGGATCTGGCCCTCGTCCGATGGGATGTTGACAGAGGAACCCGCTTTCAGCACCATTTTCATGGGCTCCTTCTTGCCTTGCCCAGCCGCATAGTGCAGGGGCCGCTTGCCTGCGGGCGGGCACGCCGTGAGCCCCTCGGGCATGCCAACATGCCCGGCCAGAGCCTGCAGAGGGGCAGGTAGCCACGGCCAGGGCCCAGAGACTCACCTTTGTTGTCCTTGATGTCCACTGCAGCCTGCGCCTCCAGCAGCAGCGAGATGAGCTCCGTGTTGCCGTTGAGCGCCGCATGGTGCAGAGCCGAGAACCTGGGGACCGGCGGGGCCCAGAGACTCACCTTTGTTGTCCTTGATTTCCCCTGCAGCCTGCGCCTCCAGCAGCAGCGAGATGAGCTCCGTGTTGCCGTTGAGCGCCGCATGGTGCAGAGCCGAGAACCTGGGGACCGGCGGTGGTGTCAGGGGTCGCGTGTCCCTGTCCCCTCCACAGCCCCGCCAGCCCCTACCCCTTAACACGGCCTCGAGCCTGCACTGCCCGCAGCCCCCCACGTGCACGCATCCCCGAGCTCCCCAGGCACCCCCACCTCTGCATCCCGCCGTGGGCACCCGGAGAAAGAGCTGATGCAGGACCGGCTGCAGCCAAGCCAGGAGTCAAGCAGGAGCCAGCCACATCCTGGAGCGCAACAAGGGCCAGAAGGTTGGACATGCTGGGGCAGATGTGGGTTTGCTCTCCAGCCCATCACTTTATTTAGCTTCGCCTGGGGTGTAGCGGCCACAGGACAGACCCCCCCAAGCCGCACAGTGGGACGCAGGGCTGGGGATGCCGCAGGGCTGGGGATGCCGCAGGGTGGGAGAAGGGGCTGGCAGGTCTGGCAGGGGATGCTGCAGCAAGACG